GATATGTTGATGACATTCTTCTTGTATTCGAAGGAAACAAAGCTCAAACAGTTATTAAATATGTTGTTTAGTTGCTCTAAACAACATATTTAATAACATTAATAACTTACAGTTTACCAACGAAATAGAAAACAATGTGTGTATTAATTTCCTTGATTTAAAAATCACTAGAAGACCGCCCGAGAACAGAGTGGCCTTCGATATTTTCCGTAAGCCTACTACTACCGATTGCATAATTCCTAAAGCCTCCTTTACTTGTAAACAACATAAATATGCCTCCTTAAGATTCATGTTTAACGGAGTTCTTAAATACCCTCTCGATCTTACAGAGTTTAAACAAGAAATCCAAACAATTGTAGGGGTGGGCCTCAGTAATGGCTATTCCATTGAAGAAATACAGAGTTTTTTTTACCGTATACATCAAAATAATATTAACAATCTCATATACCCTAAATTTTCTAAACAACCTACTTACAGGAGACCCTCTCTGCAGGTTTAAAAGACTTTAATATTACCCTGGTATTTACTGCTGGACATAAACTTGGGCAGATTCTTCCTAGCAATAGACATAGGTTTTCAGATATTCAAAAAAGCGGGATTTATAGATTGAGTTGTGGTGATTGTGATAATTTCTATATAGGACAAACTGGTCGTGACCTAGAGACCAGATACAAAGAACACATTTCTAAATCCTCATCAGCCTTTAAAAAACATCTAACAGATAATAACCATACTTCCAACATTTCCAACATAAAACTGCTTAAAGAACTAAAAAAATCAAAAAAAAATGGATCTTTATGAGGAGTATTACATTAACTATCATAATAGAAAGACCCCAAACTTAATTATCAATGAAATTACTGAATTTTACAACAACCGTTTATTTCTGAAAATTTGAATTTTACCGCCTCTGCCGGTTCGTTGCAATAATCACCCCTCCTTCTTTGTAAAACCAACTTCATACCGGTCTTACAAAAATGGCCGTTTGAGTGCGCACTTAATTTTAGGTAACATTTTGTAAGTTTTTTTTTTAACTCATTTAATTGTCCTTTTTCTTTATTTATTTTTAGATTAATTTTTGTTTCGAAGGCTGTGTATTCGTTTCATCGCCTCACTCATTTGCCTTCAGCCTTTTTTGAATTTCAACACGCCTTCAGCTTTTCTTGTTGAGTGGGACGATGGAATGATGATTCAGTTTTTTGAATCGTTCGAGTTTCCAATCATTTCTGTTAATTTTTGTTACTTTTCGTTTCTCAATCTTTTTCCACATGATGCACAAGTGGGGGTAAAATGTGTTGCTCTGATTTTAACATGTAGTTGGCGCTTCTTCTATATATATCTGTTCTGTGTGTGACGTAGGCGTTGCCGACTTTTAGATACTACCTTCATCCCCCTGGGTAGCAACGTCTACTGTTAAAAACAAAAATTGTTTTCTACAAAATAATAACAACTTAATAAAGGTTGTCTTGGCAGAGGTGGATATAAAGAAATATATGACAGACTGATTTGGCTCCATTCTTATACAGTGCGCGGCAAAATTATGGAACATATTCAATAAATTGATAACAAATTTTTTTTTGCAAAAATGCCGAAACGGGTCAATTTTGGTTAATCATAACACACATTATGACACCATATTCACTTCCTGATAATCATTTTTTTATGAGTTATGACATTTTTTTTAAATGGCACCATATGCATTTGTTTACAGAATCTGAAAGGATATTTTTTTCTGCGACCAACGATGTAAATATCGATATGGGTTACATAAGGAAAATTTTGAGAAAATTAGCTTTAAAGGTACAAATTTTATTTCTTTTTGTGAACGTAAAAATAGCCTTACACATGGGTAACCATGGAAACGCTTTGTTTGGTTTTAATAATGTCTATTCAAAAACGTCAAAATTAGTTTAGTGAGTGTTTAATTGAATTGAAACAATTTTTATAGCGATTAATTCGTGTATTTTTGGATTGTTTTCTGTGTTGTAATTGTTTGTTTGTATTTTTTTTTTCTGTTTTATGTTGTTTAGTTTTGTATTAGTTATTTTACAAATTTTTTTTTTTTTCGAACAAAAATATAGTATTACCCTTGCGTAACCATGTACGTTGTCATGGTTCTTTAATTTTTTATTCTCTATTAAAAAACACTAATAATTTAAGTTTTAATGTGCAAGGTTTTAAGTTTTAATATTTAAAGTTATTTAATGTCCGTAGAATATGAATTATGTTATAAAAAAGAAATAAATTCTGATTCTAATCATTTAATCAATTGTTCGAAATGCCCTCCACCCACTTCTTGACAATAAGCAAACCTATTCATACATTCTTTCAAAGTATTATAAATAAATTGCGGACTAATATTACGAATTTCAGCGCTAATACAATTTTTTAATGCGTCTACATTGAGTGGTTTCTCAGCGTACACTTTTGATTTTAGATAACCCCATAGAAAAAAATCAAGGGGTGTAAGATCTGGGGATCTGGGGGGCCATTCTATCGGCCCCCGTCTGCCAATCCACCGCTCAGGGAAACTATTATTCAGAAATTCGCGAACAGGATGTGCAAAGTGCGGAGGTGCACCATCCTGCTGAAACCAAATATTGTCGTCCAGTAAGTTGGGGTTATTATTATTTGGGAATGCTTCTAAAAGGACAGGCATCAGTTCATTCCTCAAAAACTCCAGATATCGTTGACCTGTCAGAATTTGTTCAAAGAAGAAAGGGCCAATGATTTTATTGTGAATTATGCCTGCCCATACATTCACTTTTTGAGGGTATTGGGTATGTACCTCGCTTATCCAATGAGGATTTTCGTTACTCCAGTATCTGCAATTTTGTCGGTTTACTGTGCCATTCAGGCAAAATGTAGCTTCATCCGAAAATAAAACGTTGTAAATAAAGAGTGGATTACGGTCACATCGATTCTGCATAATTTCACAGAATTCCATGCGGCGATCTGTGTCATCTTCATTGAGTTCTTGCACTAACTGCACTTTGTAGGGATGGTACCTCTCTGCTCGTAGCACACGTAGTACAGATCGCTGAGAAACTTGATGATCCGCTGCAATTTGTCTCGAATTACTATGGGGATCATCTTCAACAGCTAACAAAATATTAAGTTTCACATTTTCGTTGATTTTAGGACGTCCAGCATGTGCAATGTGCTTAACATGTCCAGTTTCTCTAAATTTCTTGTCAATTTTGCTAACTGTTGATCTACTAATAACTCTGTCAGGGTACTTTGCATTAAACAAATTGCATACCTCTTGTTGTGTTCGGGTTTTATCTCCACATCCAATAAGAATTAAAATTTCTATGCGTTGGGTTTCACTTAAATGAGCCATAATTATTTTAAAATAAATACGTAACAACAAATGCTCAAAAATAAAAACAAAACAGTAACAAATATTGAACAAAACTGGACTAATGAACACAGAACACGGCAAAAAATAACAACAAATAACAATCTCAATCAGAATATAACGCAAAATAACTAATACAAAACTAAACAATATAAAACAGAAAAAAAATACAAACAAACAATTACAACACAGAAAACAATGCAAAAATACAGGAATTAATCGCTATAAAAATTGTTTCAATTCAATTAAACACTCACAAAACTAATTTTGACGTTTTTGAATAGACATTATTAAAACCAAACAAAGCGTTTCCATGGTTACCCATGGGTAAGGCTATTTTTACGTTCAGAAAAAAAAATAAAATTTGTACCTTTAAAGCTAATTTTCTCAAAATTTTCCTTATGTAACCCATATCGATATTTACATCGTTAGTCGCAGAGAAATATATACTTTCAGATTCTGTAAACAAATGCATATGGTGCCATTTAAAAAAAATGTCGATGACGTCATAACTCATAAAAAAATGATTATCAGGAAGTGAATATGGTGTCATAATGTGTGTTATGATTAACCAAAATTGACCCGTTTCGGCATTTTTGCAAAAAAAAAATTGTTATCAATTTATTGAATATGTTCCATAATTTTGCCGCGCACTGTATATTGGACAGGCACAAACTTTTCGCCCACACCCTGGAAATCCTTTCTTCTTTCCATATCTTCATGATTAGTAGGAGGAAACAGGAAACCAGCTCTTCGCCTCCGTATTCAAAATTTCATTCCTGGGGCCTTCTTATTTTTTATGGCTTCGATTGCGACTCTTAATCTAACTGTTGGTGGTGCCGTGGCCTCCTCTTCAGTTCCACTTACTTCCATGTTCTCATCGTTTCTTTCGTACACAATTTGTGCCTCTCGCGTTCTGAGATTTAAAAGTTCGTGAAAGTGACCGTTCCATGCGTTCTTGATGTCTTGTAGATCTATGGTTGATAAGCCATGGCTTATGATATTTGTACGCATCTCTAATATTGTTTCCTTTAATGTTTTCTTCCATTTGAAGTATCCGGTCGTTTTCATAGTTTATCTTGTTCTGTCTACATATTTCTTCATATTTTATCTGTTCGTTAATAAAATTAGTTGCTAGTCTGTATTCGTTATCACCTTTTAGTCATCATTCAATAAAAACTTTGTACCAAAATATTTATAAGCCTGGAAGGCGTTTTGAAGATATTGGAAAAAAGTAATTTTTTGCTCACCTTTGAAGTGGGTAAACAAAACTACTTGGTACACTTGGGACACATCTAATACGCTAAATAAAAATCTGTTCATAAAACTCATTTAAAAAATTCTTTTTGCTTTTTGCAATAATTATAGTGCATTGATTTTTTGTGATTCCATGATTTGTGAAATGATGATTGGGAAGACGTTTACTACGACGTTTTGATTTATTTAATATTAAATAAGGTCTTCTGTGGTTCCAACTTCTAATGCTAGAATATGGATGAATGCCATAAATATTGATACGATATGGAAAATGACCACACAGAAAATGAAAAACGCTATGCACACGAATGATCTGTTGACCTATATTATGCGAAAAAGTGAATATATAGGTAATGAATTGCTGCGATCTGTTTTACTTTATATACTATACTGTTCCATTCACAGTTTTAAGAAAGAAAATCAAAAATGTTTCTTGAACTATACAACAAATATAATTATGAACTAGCAGGTAATGAAAAGCTCATTGAATTACTTTTTTAAATTACTTAATTTTAAAATTTTTAACATTTAATTATTAATTACTTAACATTTAAATCACACTCTGTTTTAGATCCGAGGACCAACGATTTTTTGCTTATGACGTCACCATTTAAAGTGCTTGCAATACTAGCACTTTATTTATGGTTTTGCTTAAAGGCCGGTCCTCATTTTATGAAGGATAGAAAACCATTTCAATTAAGAAAAACATTAGTAGTTTACAATTTAATTCAAATTATTTTAAGTGCAATCTTTTTTAACGAGGTAATTATGTTAGCATAAATAATAAATGTATTAAAAAATGTATTCTTTTTGTTAGCTTCTCATGATGTGGTTATACGTGTACGACTTGAGATGCACTCCTGTAGATTATTCAGTAAATCCAAAGAATACATATTTAATGTTTATAGGTCATACATATTTTTTATCAAAAATATCTGAACTTCTAGATACTGTATTCTTTGTACTACGGAAAAAAGATTCACAAATTACAACATTACATTTATATCATCACACTATTATGGTTGCTGTTAGTTGGGTTGTATTTAAATACATGGCAGGTAAATTTATGTTGTTACAGAATTTGGCTTAAATTATTATAATAATAATAATTCTATTGATATTAGGCGGTCAGGCAGGATTTGTTATATTAATTAACTCATTTGTACACATAGTAATGTACACATATTATTTATTAGCTGGATTAGGACCCAAGTTTAAAAAGTATTTAACATGGAAGAAGCAAATTACGCAATTACAATTGGTACTATATGTCTACTGCTTTTACTGAAATATTCTTCTAATAACACATTTCAGGTTCAATTTGTAATATTATTGATATACAATCTACAAGCTTTACCCAGGGAATGTGATTATCCCAAAATAATGCATGTATTTCAAATTGTGGAATGTTTAATTTTTATATACATGTTTTCATCGTTCTATGTCAAGGCTTATAACACAAAAAAGTAAGTAACAAGGAAGAAAGTTTGTGAAGTAAAGAGTAGTTAATATAGTATAATTTTCATTAACGTTGTATGGACTTCAAATGTTATGGAATAAAAATTGACGTAATTTTTGTATAATTTCTTCGCTTGTACTGCTGTCTACTGCTGTACTTCGCCACACCCGTTTTCATTTCCCATGCATTCCAGCTTAGGGAGTTTTCTTTGGTAGTCTCCCTACTTCCAACCTGATAATATTCAGGTCATGCTTCTGAGAGAAGTTGAGACAATTAGATGTTATTACTGACCATATATTTTTCTTTTATTTGTTTTCAACTTAATCTACTATTGTTACATAACAAAGTGCTTATCTAATACTCCCTTTGATTTGGTTCAACCATTCTTATATCTAACACTGCTTCATGTGCACTAGCTTTTTATCACTTTTACTAGCACTTTCACTATACCAATTCAAACGATTTCAGTCTTTACAATCTTCTAACTAAGCCACTGTTATCCAGGAGCTGGAAAGCAAGGTTTCAGGAAAAACAGATCCACTACAGATGCCTTATTTATTGTGCAACAAATTAAAGAAAATCTTATCGAACTTGATAAAGCGGTATACACCTATTTTATAGACCTAACGAAAGCTTTGAGATAAAAGACGACTGACAGAAGAACATCAAAAAATGGCAGAGAAAGTAATATTAGAGTTAAGTATGAACAATACAACTAACATACAAACAGGTAACGAAACATCTAATAAAATATGTACCTACTTCAGAACGCATAAGACAAGATGACTCCTGAAGCTTGAGTCCTTTCTTATCCTATCTAATAGTGGACAAGATGATAGATCAGATAACAGAACTTTATATGGGGTATACAATGAGAGACAGGATCATAAGCATGATTCACCGAAAAAACAAAATGAATGACATTCAGCAGGGGGCTAAATCATAAAATGAATAGATAAACCTACAGAGCACATTTAAACACCTTGGCATATAATGGCATATTTAGTCATTAGAACCTAGTAGAGAATCTTCGGAGCCAGACTAATAAGGCGGCTGCAATCTCAGGATGCTTACGAGACATTATATGGAAGAAGAGACACATAACAACCAAATTGACGATTCGTGTATACAAAACATGTGTACGATTAGTGCTAACCTACGGTATCGAAATAAGACCAGATGTAAACAAAACGAAAAGTGTTACGAAAACAACAGTAATGAAAACGCTGAGAGCAATAGCAGACAAAACTCTTCGCGACCGTGTAAGAAGCGGTGACATAAGACAATCATACGGAATTCAATACATGGCGGGATGTGGGAGAGAGTGTAGGAGGGGTTGCAATGAACATGTAAGAAGACTGGACACGAACAGGATAGCGCGCAGTGTACTGGAACGAAAACCACAAGCACCCGGAAGACCACGAAAGGAATAGCAAGATAGTTGGAACTCTTTATTTCTAGAAAAGAAACAATACGTGGTTAGTGAACAGCTTTACGGATCTTCTAGTAGAAGAAGAAGAAGGTGCTTGCGCACATTGTTGTTTCGAATGAATCATTAAAAATTCCTCTGAGTACTTTATTCTAAAATGTTTGCACCATATTTCTATTGCTGGTACAGCCCCAAAGTTTTATGCCATAAGTCGACACTCAGGTTTGAGGACTTGTTTATAAAACATAAGTTTGTTGAATGCAATCTGAGTTCTTCATATTTTTTCTTGACATCTGAGTTCTACTTGAACATGAACACCCATGCCAAGATATTGGACTGTATTTTCGTAGGCAACTACTTGTTCACGATTATACCTATAATGACTTGTGCTCAATCCGTTCATTACCAAAATTGATATTCCTCTGACTTGTTTTTGTTTAAATACACCACTTTTCCATCCAGCTTTGTATTTCAGCAATAGTTTATAATTTTTTGATTGTATCACTGTTGTTGTTTTCATTGGCTAGAATTACGGTGTTATATGCAAATGTAGGCAAAATTATCATCGAATGTAGTACAGCAGGAATACCATTACCCTGTGCCATACCTGCTTGAATTATTCTCACGTTAGAGTAGTTATCATCTTGTTTGATCCTGAAGAAGCGTTCCATTTACATGAACGATATGATTTCAAGCTTGTAGTTCACCCCTCATGTCGTACTTTGTTTATGGCTTGCGTCACATTCAGAAATATTGCAAACTTATCTTCTATGAGTAATTCTGTGGATCTGATCAATCAAAAATGTTAATTTCTGAACCCAAATGGATGATTCAATCTTAGTCTTTTAAGTAATAATTTTTCAAACACTTTGGACATTATCGGCAATAGTAATATTGACCGATACGATATTGTATCGTGAAGTGACTTCCCAGGATTAAGTATCATGACCACTTCAACCATCTTTCACATATTATAATAGGAGAGAATCATCAACCAGGTTTACTTATTGTAACTCTTGTTTTTCCCGGCTCTTTCAGTATACGGTTGATTCTCAAGTCGAAAAAAGGTTTTGTTTTGAATTAATATAAGTCTTAATTTCCTTTATCTTTATAAATTTCCTTTATGGCGTTAAACTTAATTATTTAATGTCATTTCTCAGTTGAGTTATAAGATTGTTCACCTTTATTTTGTCTTATAGGGATCTGGAGTACTGTCATTTCTTACGTTTCTATACGTGTAGGTAGGTTTCCTCTTGTCTTACAATCATTGTCATTTGTGTAGATTTCCAATCCGTTCATGTCTCTTCCTTTCTGAGCACGACTGCTGTGCCTACACATCATGTTAATATCGGCTGCATGAGCACCGAGTTGCAAACTTTTAGCTGTTAATAAGTTTTCCCTCCCGATATTAATTTGTCTTATTACATATTCGGTTACACAATTGCTAATTACAAATTAGTGTTCATAGAAATAATGAACTATAATGATCTCCTTTTATGACATTAAACCATGGAACTTGATGAACTTGATGCTTAATGATTGATGATTATGATCAGGAACTAAGTCCTTATTTATCAGCCCAGTATTAGCAGTTGGCGAGTATTGTATTCAAACATCTTTCAAATCAGGTTTCAATGATTATTTTGAATAATTTTTAATTGTAATTTCAATTATATCGTTACATTTAGTTTTAAATTCAGGTTTTGTAGTTTGAATTTTCTAGTTATACCTGAAGATTATTCAGATGTAACTGTCCAAACAGTATTCAAAAAAAAATTTATTTTGAATCTAGTATATTATTTTCCCCATAATAGACTATCTATTTTGATATTGAAATAAATTCTATATGAGATAAATCAGTACGTTTATAACCTGTATATAAATTTCCTATTTTTGTTCTTCACGATGTTATCAAATGCAGTTATTTTTAAGAATCATTGCATTATTGATCTATTGATCTATTGACCCATATTGTATGTGGATGCTAATATAAATGAAATATCTTTATGAACCGCGGCATTATCACACAATTGTGTCAAGTGCTAAGTGTAAACAACACTAAAATGTTTGAAGTCTATCAGTATATAAATTATGATTTATCAGGTAAGCGAGACGACACGTATTTACGTTCATAATTTTTACAAAAACATTTTAGATCCAAGGACAAAGGATATTTTTCTTATGTCATCCCCTTTTCCAATATTATCTATTTTGGGATTATATTTATGGTTTTGTTTAAAGGCCGGACCACATTTTATGAAAAACAGAGAACCCTTCAAATTGAAAAATACTTTAATTGTGTACAACGTTTTTCAAATTATTACTAGTGCTTTTTTTTTTGTTGAGGTAAGATATATAATAAAACAAAATATATAAACCTTAAAACATTTCTAAATAGGCAAGCTCACTTTGGCTTTTTAAATATAATCTTTCATGTGAACCTGTTGATTATTCGAATAATCCAGACGCTGTCTACGTATTACATTTAACTTATATTTACTTTCTATCAAAAGTAATTGAGTTATTAGATACAATATTTTTTATATTAAGAAAAAAGTATTCGCAAGTGACTACTTTACACTTGTATCATCACGCTTCCACGGCATTTATAATTTGGGTAACTGCAAAATATGTTGGAGGTGCTTTATAGTTTGTTGTTTCTCGTTTTGTAATTATTAATAATTAATTTTGTAGGGGGACAAGCAACATTTGCGGGATTTTTAAATTCTTTTGTACACATAATAATGTACACGTACTACCTTATTGCAGGATTAGGACCAAAATATCAAAAATATTTAACTTGGAAAAAATATATAACTCAAATACAATTGGTATAATATTTCTTAAAAAAACATTTTATTATAATTTAGGTGTTTTCTTTTTTAGATTCAGTTTTTGATAATTTTTATCAAAGGTATGCAAGCTATCTTTACGAATTGTAATTTTCCAAAATCACACATCCTTTTGCAAATATCGGAAGCTGTACTATTTTTCTATATGTTTTCATCGTTCTATTCTAAACAATACAACAAACAACAGAAACTTCAATAGAGAACTTAGTAATTAATAATTAATTGTATTTTAGCAAAAAAGAGGCCCAAATGTAAATAATTTGAATATTTCAAAATAATTTGAAATTTAGAAATAAAAAATAATTTCCCTAATTTGTATTCTTTTAATTTTTTGTTAATTCAAACAAAACTCGTGGAATATTTGAAACCTAGAATGGAATTTAGTGGAATTTATTCAATACCAAAGTATTGAATAAATTAATTCAATTAACATTAAAATTTTAAGCAATTTCACTCGCAGTATAAGTTAAGTGTAACGGTCGAGAGGTGTTGTTTTTAAAAAGCAATTTGTTTGTTGTAAACTTAACAAATTCATATAGTTTCAGAATTTATTTATGTTTTAATTTATTTTACTTGCTTATCATAACAAAATATTGTATATGTTATGTAAATAAGATATAAATTACTTTTATTTTGTTTTAAAGTAAATAATCTGTTGTTTCGATAATATCTATTGTCTGCTACAATTATAACTGTAATTTATATCTTGTAAGCTCTACTCTCAGGGAAACTGAAACCTCTAGAGAGCGTGTACCCAGGTGTAGTAACCAGCCTCGGAATAGATGGATTAAACGAAGACGACTTAAGTTATGAAAACGGACAACAATTGTAGCTACTTGGTCAACACTACTACTGTGTTGATGAAAATAAAAACGCGGAGTACCAAACGAAAAAAGGGCTCCACAGATGGACTCCAAACTCCCATGTAATTCGAACAAAATTGTAATGTTGGGTATCTTGTAATCCGAATTACAACCATACAATCGGTTGCAGTCGGTCGTGTATTCTTTGTTTTGTTCTTACCGAAGTTTAACATATGTATTATGGCAGCTAAACAAGCGCATAAAACACTAACGCTTAGAGAAATGCAGAAAATTTTGAAACAAATAAACAGTGGTTGAAGTGAAAAATCACTGTCCACAAAGTATAGCATTGATTCGGCAACAATTTCGAACATTAAAAGCAAAAATAATAAAATAATGGCGTATGAAGTTTATTTGTTAATAACTAATTGGGTGTGAGGAGACAGTATAAAAGTAAAAGGGCTATGGGGAGTGTGTGGATAGAATGAAACAGCAGTATGTAAAGGCGAGAGTATAAACAGGAAATTATTAAGGCGAAAACAGAATAGAGAGAGCGGTTGGGTGAATGAGTGAAAGACAAAGGATGGCAGGAGATGTGAGGGGGGAATGAGGAGAAAGAAGTTGATGATGGCGAGTGGAGATGGGGTGGGCTGGTTTAAGAACAGGGAGGAGACATTAAAGGTTTTATTTGGGAAGTATTTTCCAGAGGGTAAGATACAGGATATAGAGGTACAAGGCCGATGTGGAAGGATGGATAGTGTAGGAATGATAGGGGTCGATGGATGGTGGAAAAAGTTGGAGAAAATGAGTCTGATGAGATTATATCTGGGATGCGATGGGATAAGAGCGATTCTAGTAGAGAAAGAGCGATTCTAGTAGAGAAGACGTGGAAGATATTTAATAATGCGTGGGAGTGCTTGAGGGACGGGAGCTTTCCGAATGTATGGAAGAAGTTTAGAGTAACAATATCAGGCCTGGCTTCCGCTGTAGGGAAGGTTTTGAACAAAGTGGTTGCTGAAAGATTATTGACATATATGGAAAAATAGGGTTGATTGGATGAGGGCCAGTTCGGGTTTAGAAGACGAAGGGGTACGATTCCGGCGTTGAATGGGATGATAAAAAACGTGAAGAAAGGGAAGGGGAATGGGAGGTTACACAGCGTGTAATGGCGATGGACGTGAAAAACGTATTCAACGCGGTATAGAGAGCGGGAGTGTTCAGTGCCTTAGAGAAAATGAAGACACGGCTACCTATTATGTGTTGTGGAACGTTCTTTGAAGGATAGGTGCATGAAATGTGATTTTCGAGACGAGACTCGAGACGATACTGGGACAAGACAAGACGAGACTTTCATTGGTCTCATCTCGAGTCTCGTGCATGAGGTCTTGCGTGTCGTACGAGAGTCTCGCAGGCAAATATTTCTACGGGCGGACTTCCGAAGGAGAATGGATGCAGGACTTCAAAAATATTATTCTATGCCTCGGTGTAATAGACACAGATATACTACAATGGTGGAAAATTCATGCTTCTGAATTTCCTATTCTAAGTTTAATGGCACGAGATCTCTTAAGCGTACCGACTACTTTAGTCCCGGCGGACAGATTATTCTCACGTGCTGTGTTAACTATAAGAAAACCTCGAAATCGCATTAATAACAAATCTGCACGATGTTTGTTATGCCTAAACGATTGGGTGAAAAACAAAATCATTTGCGACCGAGAGGGCTGTAGGCTGTTTTTTTTATTTATTTCATTTTTAAAATAATGTTAAGTTTTTATTTTGTTTAGATGTAGGTACTCTCAAATACATCATGTTATTTTTCAACAAATGTAATTCTCTCTTCCGACTCTTACATTATAGCATGTATTTAAGTATTCCTTATTGCACTGAAACAATAAGATTATACATGACGAGATTTCGATACTTTTATGAGACTCTCGTACGAGAAGCGAGACGAGACGAGAGTGGAGGTTGCGAGACGAGACTTGATACAAGACTTATTAGTTCATCGGCGAGACGAGGCAAGACTTTATAAAAATTTCGTCTCGTTGGTCTCGTGCGAACCACTACTTGGGGTCGGTACTGTGGTTGTGTGCAATGAATGATGGTTTGTGAATGAGTGAAGGTTGTACTGAACAACGTGGTGGACCTAGTACGCCGAGCCGTATGCCGATGATCAGGTCATACTTATTTCAGACGTCTCAGCTAAGAAGATTAAGAAAAAAAGGGGAGAAAGTGTGAAACGTATGTGAGGAATGGTCTGAAAGGGGGCGAATGGGAGATGAGAAGTATGGGGAGCGAATGGTATTCTTGCGAGGTAACCGTCGACGATGAGGAAAATGAGGGGTAAGTTGTAAAGGAATATACGTATGGTACGAAAGCACAGGAAAGAGTGCGTGCAGGGACGTGGCGATGGTGGGCGACAATTTGATGAGTGAGCGTAGACTAAGGATGGAAGATGTAGCGACCGATAACTCAAGCGAAGCGATACCCAAGATGATGAGTAAGAGAAGAAGTTTGGAGGTGAATGATGTTGTGAAAGTGTTTGATGGGCGAAGAAAATGGGTAGAAAAGTGAAATTGGAATGGAAGTCCAAAAAGGATGTATGTGTATAAGAGGGGGGTGGTGAAGGATGTTAGAGAGGCGCGGAAGACGAGATGGATGGAATCAGATAAGGGCAGAAGGAAGTATAGGTTTATGAAAGATGGATGGATGGGTGAGGTCGCCATGTCTAGTAAGGGCATTCAGCTGATGACGGGACGTGGTCATTCAATGTATATTTGATAAGGTTTCGACTGAAGGATACGAACGGGATGTGTGTGTGTGTGGGGGGTGAACGAGGACACCCTGAGTGAAAGTAGGTCAAGAGGAAGAGAGAGAGAGTAGGTGAGATTATGGATGACAGCGATGCGGATGATTGGAACTGGTTGAGTTCGAGGCAAGAGTTATGTTTGGTTGTGATGGGGAGTAATGCTGGTTGTTGGTAGGTGGAGGCGGTGAGTGGCCTTGGGGTGGTTAGGTGGAGAAGAAGAAAGAAGGTGAGATTATTATAAGACTAACATATTCTAGTTATTATCGCAATTAAATTTCGTATAAGTACATTGTATTTTGACACTAAATCCCAGAGCTTTTAAAAACGCTAATATTTCTGTTATCATTCAACAAAGAAAGCAGGGATGACATCCGTTTTATTTATTGAATGATTTCATACATCTTTTGTTAAACAAGTAAGAACAAGTTTCCGTGGCAACATTATTCGAACATAATTCAGATGATGATCCTTCTTAACTGCCGTAAAAGAAAAGCTACTTTCTGTAGGCTATCAACAGGAATTTTTAAATCAGAGAGATTGCAACAAATTTCGTCTAATAATCATCAGCACAACGAAACTGAACTTAACGGATGGATTGTTGGAGATGACTTTTACCTCTACGTAGAGATGTAATCAGTAGTTTTAACACTTGTTGGGCTGAAAAAAATGGAGCTGAATTAGAAACACTGTCACACTTAGGATACCACTGATACGAGAAAGAATTCATAAAAGTTTTAAAGATGTGCAGCAAGTAAGTGAGAGGTTACTACGACTCCCCCTCTCACTTCCCAATTCTATCTTGAATATAGTTGATTCTAACATCATTAGCTTTAATATTCGTATAATAATAAGTCATCATTACCGTACTCATTTGAGGTGATTTGAGTTACGTAATGAAGTTCATTAGCGCACTGGTTTCATTACGTAACGCATTTTTAGTCTAATCAGAACAGACTTAATTTATTGAAACGAGCAACAATACAAAAGAAAAAGTGTTATTTCTATTTATTATAAACATTAATTGTTATGTTTTTACATTTCAAAACACTTATTCCAGACGAGTAAACATGTTATTGAAACTGACATTAATTCAAAATTGTCAACAATCATTTCAAAATATTTTTATAAATGTCAAAATAGACCTGTTTAAAGATATTGATTTTTAAGTAATTCTTAGCAGTCGTAAAATGTTGTATGTCACACGTGGGCTAGAACATAATTACAGTATTAGAGTTTAGATCCATGTTTCAAGTGAATTATTTAAAAATAAAACGAAAAAACTTCTTATAAATATTAATTGTTATGTTTTTACATTTCGAAACACTTATTCCAGATGAGTAAACATGTTGTTGAAACTGACAATTCAAAATTGTCAACAATCATTTCAAAATATTTTTATAAAAGTCAAATAGACTTTTTTATAGAAATTGATTTTTTAGTAATTTTTAGCAGTCGTAGATAAAATGCTGTATATCACACGTGGGCTAGAGCATAATTACAGTACTCGTGTGATTACACGACTCGGTCTACGACCTCGTCGTACAATTCTTCACACTCGTACAGCAATTATGTTTCTAGCCCACTTGTAATATAAATAACTATTATAAAATCACTGCAATATGTTTCGAAATACAAGTAACGTTTTTAAAATTGACATT